TGGTGTTATAGAGAATTAATTTAGTTAAATGAAAGAAACAATATTTGACCGAGTTACTATGCCTCAAAGACTTCTCGTTGCTAAACAAGTAATAAGTGCATAGAAACCTTTTTTACGACTCTATCAGCGATGAAATAATTACGGACAACTGGCTGATAGCTATTGGTTTAGAATCATTCACTCGATAATATACTGGCAATGTTAACATATAAACTGGACTTTGATTAATTAATATATATATGGAGAGCTCAACGATAACGACTCAATTTGGTCGCTGATATAGATGTAATTATGATAGTTGTGCTCGAATTTAATTTCATGAAAAAAATTCTTTTCCTCACGATACGAAATACAAGATCCGTCAGGTCTATGACATTTGTTATAAACTCTCTTGCAGTTTCTATATAATGGTTCAGATTTTCGGAGAAACATCTGTCATTGATTATTCAATTCACAGATCAAATATTTTATTCCACGTGTAATAATGATATGCTGACAGGAAATTATCTTCAACTACATATAATATCTACTTTGAAGTTTAAGTACTCTTGTTATCGAGGTTCTAGACAAAGTTTTATTGCATGACCAATGTCTCCTGAGAGAATAACATCATTTTTGGAAATCGAACAACAACAACAACAACAACAACAGCTCTTTTTTTTATCAGAGGTGTTCCATTCATTTTAAAACGACAATTCAATGAAGAGAACATTCATACGAAATATGTTCAATGCGACTGATCCGCTAATGAGTTATATTATTCACTGGAATATAAATGAACAGTAACTAATATCATTTATTGGCGTTACAAAATGCAATTGTCGGATGTAAAGGACAGGATACATCAGAAGACAAAGAAGAGAAAATGTTTTTATATTCGTGAAATCCAATCATATCGACTTGTTCAGTATTAACTGATGAAAAGAAGAAACCTCTGCGCAATCACCTAAATTATTGATCTCCTATATGCATATATATAGTACGATGAATGTACTCAACTACGAAACAGAACCAAATGATAATGTTAGACCTTCGAAAATGTCTCAGGCGACAAAGACGCCCCGTTTTCTTTGGTAAAACATCACCTTTCCAAGATAAGTCTTATCTCATCCAGACTAGAAATCTAATGTTATGTTGGGAAACAATATTATAAGATGTTTACCTAGTTAGATTTTATCATTCGTACAAGGCGATTTACGGCAAGATAGAATCATTATTATTTTTATTCAATCTTATTATCGCTCGATCAATTATCTTTGAATCAGGTAGTAGAAAACGCGTTGTATATGACGAAAATTTTCTAATTTCATTAACAACATAAGGTGTTACAACATGTAGCCGCTACAAGCTGTTTCAAATTGATAAAGGAAAGAACATCGAATTGTATAACGGCTGTTGTCTGTTTGTCAACAAGTATACCGATGACAATTGTCTAAGAGTAACAGCTTGTTCAGTGGCATTTATGACAAAAAGAAAAAGAAAAAAACAGAATGTTATTTCATGTTGGATGACTAGTTCGTTCGTTCGTTGTCACTGTTCAAATAGACCGATATGCCTCTAATTGGTCGCACGTCTTTCATTAATTTAAGAACAGCTTGTTTAAAACATCTTGAAAATTCTCTCGTTTTTGTTATTTTTGAGTGAGATCTTTTAGAAGTATAATCAATGATCAATATCAATTTTGTTTTGATCTTTCGACTCTTCTCATCTATATATATATATATATGGAATTGAAAGATAACGTTGTTTCATTCCATTCTATTTGTGTGACTACCAAGTGTATGCGAATAGGTGATGATAGGTAACACATTATTGTCTTCGTCTTTTCCCAACGTCTCATTCCATATTCTCATTCGGCTGTCAAGTACGATTGTCATGTGTATGTTCAATAGGATCGGAAATAATTGAATTATCTTTTAAACAGCAGGTTTATATAAATTGCTTATCTAAATAACAATTGGTTTATGTTATTGAATAAAAGTGTTCATACCGCGTTTGGCCCATTGGAAAATTGTTATGTAAGAGTTTTAAGAACAAGCAATTGCAAATATACGTATTACTCAAATTTATGTGAGAGAGTTGAGCTGAAATTAGTTTATCTTTTTGCTTATTTATATAAAGAAATATTATTCAATGATACAAAATAAATATTGTTAGATGAAACGTTACGAATACGCATAATATTTATATATTAGTAGTTCATGTTCGAATCCAAATGTTGGTAGACTCCTCCTTGGTGAAAAACGACGCTAGTACTTTCTTCTAATCGATTCTGTAGATTAGTAAGATTCTCGTCTGTACAAGTTTTCAATGTTGTATTTCTAAGAGTGAACTTGGTAGAAATACATTCGATCATCTAGAAATCTGAATATTTTCATGGTCACTGATTGTTCAAAAGTATATAAAATCTCTAGTTCACTGCCAGTTTCAGTAAAGAAATGTTACTCATCAACAAAACTTGACAGCGATTCAAAATTTATCCCACAAACTATTTTTGTGAGATTTGTACTGACAGTTTCGCTAAAATCTGCGTACTATCCAATGAAAATAAGAATCCGGCAGCAAGTTTCTAAAAAATTTCGTTCATTTGTTTTTGTTGCAGCTCGAATAAATATTATGGGATCGGATAGTCTCGTGTTATTGTGTGAAACGATGTTCAAAAAACACCAAACGATTTACATAGAAGTGAGAACTAAACTTGTTTCGATTGCCAATTTGTTACGATCGAATTCGTACAAGCTGTTTATTGCGTCATGCGGGTTTGTCCAATTAGTCTATTTGTTATCGTTGACCAATTGGTCATCCTTCTATTTTCTTAGCCAATTAGACAAAGTGTGAAATGATCACTATTTCTTCTTCTCTTATGCGAAAAAAGATAAATAATCGCCGAGAGAGAGAGAGATGACGAATAATTTCTCTCTCGCTTCTTTTTATTTTCGATTGGCTAATTTGAGCTGGACATTGTGGCCAAATTGTTGTATAAATACAGATGATTCTTTGCAATGGGTCAGTATTTTCCGATGATACACTATATCGGCGCTGATCTCTCTCAATTGAAGGTAGGTTGTATTTGGTCCTGATAACATTCTTGTCTCTTTGACTTATGGCACTTTAATTCACGGCTCCGAATTCACATTTGTCGTGTGCTATTGTGTCATGCATCGAGAGGCATCGTATCGACGAAATATTTTCTATAGTTTATTTCGTATTTTTACATTCTTTCAAAGTAGTTCAGTTTCGATCAATGGCACATTATTTGAAGACGGTTGAAATGAATTACTCCGTGTTTATATGTGTGCCAAAAATCGATCTGAATATAGCTAAATACAGATATTTTGGTGCTCGAGTCACTTGAAATATTTTTTCTCAAAAAAACTGAAAGAAGGAAAAGCGATGGTGATGGGAAATTCACAAGATGAATTAATTTTACGACATTGATCTGATAACACATGTTGATTCGTGTTTTGTTAAGAGAAGATGTTAAAAATTCTAAATAATAATAATTGTAGACACGTGCCGTGATTATTTATATGCAAATGTAAGTAACAGTTGTATGCGAAAGTGAATAAGGATGATCATTGTTTGAAGTTGAGACGTGTTATCTAACAAATTTTTGTTTATCATACATTTAGATGTCAAGAAAGATATTAATTAACGGCGGTGATGGTGGCACGCGAAGTGATACGAAGAAGAACAGTCTTCGATAGATGATTACAGATACTGAAAAAAACTTTCGATAAAGTGTCTTGATATGACTAAATCTTCAGTGAAATGAATAAATGAAAGCTCTTAATATCTGTTGCGATTTTATTGTTAATATATTGATGAAACACTGAATACTAGAGTTACAAGTGGTCGGAAATTCTTTCAAATAACTTGTGCACGCCGTTGAAATATTGGATTTTAGTTGCTTCTGTTTGGGTAATAATCAATGGTGGAGAACGTTGTCTGTGAAGTATTCATCTCGAAAAACAATTGTTCGTATTTCAAGTTCAGTGTTGAATTGTGATGATGATATTTTTTATTGTTGTATGGAAATCTTGGGATCTTTTTTATGTAGGATGTACCTCGAGTTTTTGAAAGACATTGATTCGAAGTCAGAATGTTTGAGGAATTTTGAGGATGATTCAGAAAAAAGCAACTTGCTTTTTGTTCTTCGTTTAATTCATGAATGTTGACAGAAGCCGGCATTGGTGTAAATATTATTGAGAAGAGAAGCACGATCTCCTGACGAGGTTGCAGAAAAGGATAGCTCAAATATTTTTCTTCTGTATTGAGTATTTTTGTGCGATAATTAAGATTTTGTATACGATCTCTCTTTGAAAATAAAACCTTAGGTATTGTAATGTATCTTATAAAAATAAGGAAATTACAGAGGACAACGGATTTCATCCTATCAGATCGGGAAAGAGGCATTTTAGCAACAGTTTACTTTTCTTGAAATTGATAATTGTCAGTTTTGAAAGTTCCAAAATAAAAAAAATTATGTTTCTCGATTGAGTACGCTTTTGGATGATGGTACAATACGAAGAAAAAAACCAAGGTGATACTTCTATTTTTATTGTACACGCGTTAGCGACGAAGTTGATTGTAAATCGGAGAAAAATTTCCATCGAAAAATAGGTGTTGTAACTTATGAATCATTTTATTTCTCTTTTCCACGAAGCGCAATTATGTGACGTGCTGTTTATTTGTAGAGTCTTTCAGGCGAATGACCTTGTGTTATTTCATTGATAGAATTTTTGTAAACAGGAACAGCCAACGTGGATAGAAAAGAATAGAGAAAGTTTTGCATTTTAAAAAAAGCAATACTTATTGCCATCTACTTCTAAGTGAAGTTTAAAAATGCACGACAAAGAAAAATAAAACATTTTTTGCTATTGATTCTGCACTACAGGAGAATCTTATTGTATAATTCGCCTCTGCGTTTGCCTCTTGTTCGAAGAAGAAATTCAAAAGTAAGAATGTCTTGTTAAATGCCAATATTAGATTGAATTGCCATGCCAATTAATCCATACATGCGTCGAGGACGAGTATGCATTGATCTATTGAAAAATAATATTAAATACACTTTTTTTTTTATATGTAATTAGATTTATCCAAGTAATTCAGTTTCCTATTTTCGTACATGTTGGACATACAAGTCTTGGGGTACTTTGATCGGTGTTCTTGCTTCAATAATAGTTTTAGCCGGTTTTCATATTGGATGGGAGTAAGTTTTTTTTTTTTTTATGAATAAAACACGATTGCTCTTAATTGTAATAATAATAATAATTATTATTATTTTCTACGACAGTATTCCTATAATTGTTAAAAATGGTCTTATCTTTTATCCAATTTTATTTGGTGTTGTATTTTTTTATACGATGACAAATTATCTGTTCGCAGCACTTTATGATCCCGGCGTTGTACCAAGGCCAAATGCAGATGAAACTCTTCATACAGAAAAAGAAAATAATATTCAGACCGATTTGTAAATTCAAATATAAATTTATTTCATTGATAAATTAAAAATATTTGAAATTTTCAGAACTGGAAATTATTTTCCATCGAGACCACCATCAACGACGATACTTGTACGAAATAATCCGCATACATCTCCTTATTGTTATACCTGTCGAACCTATCGTTTGCCGCGTGTCGTTCATTGCTCCGTTTGTAATGTTTGTGTGGAAAACTTCGATCATCATTGTCCATGGAGTAAGATTTTGTTTATTTACTATTAAAGACAAACTCAGTTTGCATCTAATTAGAACAAATTATTTTATTGTAAACCAGAGAAGAAAATTTCGTTCGAGTTCCTCAAAAAATCGTAGCAAACCGATAAATTTTTCAATTGAATAGAAATTCATAATTAAAATATTTTCTTATTTCTATTTAGTTAACAATTGTGTTGGCTTATTAAATTATCGTTATTTTTCAAATTTTGTTCTTTTCTGTTCGATTCTTTGTTTTGTTGGATTTGTTGGCTGTGTTTTAGCTGCTTTTTATCGATGGGACATCTACAAATACCAAGGTGGCTTATTTTTTGCATACAATATTCCTAATTTTCTAACTGGTCTTATTGCAATTCTTTTTGGATTTACGCTCTTTCCATTCTGGTACTATCATTGTGGATTAGCCATGAATGGAGTAACAACAAAACAAGCCGTACATTTCATACAAACTAATCTTTTTGTTTAGTTAATTTAATTTTTCTTCAATTAGATGAAACATGAAGATGGTCTAGAAGATAAAGAAGCTAATTGTGGTTTACGATTTCAGAACTTAACTCGAGCATGGTGCGGGCCGATACGACCACCGTAAGTTGTGACTCGATATCATAATCTATGAAAAATTGTGAAATTATAGAGTTAATTGGAATGAACTGTACGAGAATGATCATTATATAAAACAAGTAGAAATTTATAAAAGAATTCGTCCAACGTTATTAAGCAATACACTTACAGTACCAAAAAAAAGCATTCGAGATCATATTGCGAGTTTAGCTGCTAACGATTATTTTGGTATAGCTCAGCAAGTTGAAGGTTTCTGTCGCACAAATACAAGGTCAAGTAAGAAAAATATTTCGTTCTATTGAAACTGTTATTGTTATTATTTGAGCGATGATTGAAGGTGTTACGCTTACAAGTAGGAATAACACATAATCAAAATAATCGTTTGAATAGATAGAAATATTTACTTAAGTAAAAAGCAAAATCTAAGTCCTTGAAATATTTCAAAAATCATAAATCTTCGCCTTTTCTGGATTTTATTTACATTTATTTTTGAATTTTCTTTCAGATCGACAATCATCGATAATTGATGTCGATGTTATCCATCATCTTTCGATGCATGAAATTAAAGTAACTCGTATCGGCAATGATCAACTTTCGATTCGTTATCTATTAATTGAAGGTAATGAATTATTATTATTGATTATAAATAAATGAAATATTTATTTTCTCAATAGCTGTTCATCCAACAAATATTTCAACATTTTGGAATACAATATGGCTTCGTAATGTATTATCTATTGTAATGCTTTATGGTACAGACGAAAATGTATAGATACCAATGGAAATTATATTTGATCGAAATGATTCTTTTTGTTTCTCAATAGAATTCCTATTGTCAATATTGGCCAGATGAAACGAATCCATCGATGACCATAGATAATTGTTATCAAGTAGATTTCATTGGTATTATTAAACGAATAGATATAGTAACTTTTAAATTCAAAATACAGAAAGTAATTTGAAATATATTTCGAGCGACTACGATAAGATTTGATTTAGATTGGCGAAACTCAAACTCGTATTGTTGAACATTTTCAAATTAAAAATTGGACAGAAACAAACTTTTCAATGGATCCCGTTGCTCTTCTCACTCTACAATATAGCATTGATAAAAAAGAGAAAGACGCAAGACCACGTGCAACTGATGCAGGTATTATTGCTATACATACTTGGTAAGAAAAACAAAATAGTACAATGATTCATTTAAATTTATTTCACTGTAGTGAAATTAATACAAGAGCATTTGAATATATGACTATTGATATAAATCGATATTTATTAAATAAACATGGTTATATAAACATACTGAATACAATTACTCAACTTAATGAACAATTACCGATATGTTTAGTGAATGATGTAAGATAGAAAAATTGTACAGATTTGCGAATATGATCTAAACGTTTAGCATGTGTTAATTACGGTTTATACCGTGATACTTCATCTTTCAGCATGGACGTATCCATCGGATATGACATCAATGCTTAGCGTATGTTTTCATGTCGATAGATCATTGAACGCTTCCGTTTCGGGATATTTTCAAACTTCGATAGAAGATTTATTTCAAGTAAGTCATGTATTTGATTGAAGAAACTTTACTAGAGTTTATTATTATGGATAACTGAACACTTCGTATTATGCGAATCTTATCGAATTTTGATCTACTAACATTTTTAAAGCGCTTGTCTATGGTACTGTTATATTGAAACACTAATATTCTTCGTTTATGTTCATAGAATTTTACTAGAAACAGTTTGAAAATTCTCAATACCATACTTCCACCGAGTCTGTTCGATAGCTACTTTACGAAAAGCATATTCATATGCGACTATTAGTTTAGATGTGAAAAATCCTTATCAACCAGTTGCTATTGATTACAATGTTGTTTATTTTTTTGATGTAAGTAAACTTGGCTCATGAATTCCTATGCGTCATATACGATTTCAATTAAAAGAGTTATATACATTCAAAAGCATTTTTATTGACAATTGGTCGTAATCAAAACAATCTATTCAAAACAATATCAGCATTTCAAATACAACATTGTTTTCTATTTCAACAAAGTAGCCATTTAGTAAGTGAACGACAATGAAATTGAAAAACGAAATTCATTTCTTGTTTAAGGATACTGGTCTCATCGAGAGAGAAAATTTAAAACTTGATGAGAATTACCAATCAGTTGATTTTCGACGTTATCAAAACGATCAAGTTCGTAGAGCTAAAATGTTTTTCTATGATTCATTGTGAATTTATAGTGTAAAACGTTCATCTATCAACCGATTAAGTCCATTGAGGATGTTGTATTACATAGATTGTCTCGATCGCTTGTAGATCTTGATCAAAATGATGAGACACCGGTTTTAATATGCATTGAGTATATAGATTATTTTATTTTATATGGATAATTGAACTTTATTTCTAGTAATATTCGAACAGGTGCTATTATATATCTTGTTGCAAATTTAATGGAACAATTCATTATTGATAGGAGAGTTGATATATTTCACCAGGCAAGAAAAGTTGCTTATTCGTGTCCTTCATTTCTAGTAGAAGTAAGATTTTTGTTTTTCTTATTCATTTGTTTATTAGCTTATTTTATTACTCTTTCAAGAATGATTTTCGATTTATGTATGAATGTATTCGGTTGTGGATAATGGAGGACGTAAAAAAAGAATTAAATTAAATATTTTATGGAACAACATAAAATCAGATGTAAGCTGAAACGATAAAATAAATGCATGTTTGCGTTTTTTCTGTTTTCTAATAAAATTGAAAAACATAGTGATTTCGAACGTTTTAGTTTCGTGAATAAAATTACTAGGATTTCTTCTGACAGCAGGAGAAAGTAAACAAATCCGGATGCCGATATACACGTGAAAGTATTCAGGGGATTATTTATTTTGGTACTTCGATTGACTAGAGTTCTTTACACGATAAGCGCATGTTCTAATCATTTGTTTTTTGTTATATGGGCATATTAGAGTGCGTTAAAGATATTGTAGTCCAATATTCTTCTTGCCTAGCACTACGGCCCATGTGCCTTTCTTGAGAATGTTGCAGTGAGTTTCGAAGAGAAATACCATAATAGTTAACTTCCGAATCACGATTGCAAAACAATTCATATTATGATATTTCTCCACATATGTCTATCAGTCATTAACACTAGTAAAACAACAACACATTAAGACAATTAAAGTTTTTCTAATGATACTATAGTTTCTATAGATCGAGAAGTTCAGTATCTCTCATGAAATTTCAGAGCAAAATGTTGCATCTTGTGCTCTGGCAGTTTTTAAATTGCAATTAATTAATTTCTTTCGACACATTCGATCACAAGCTGCACCTGTAGTAGCTGATTTCATGAAGTATTGATATACCAATCCCATCGTTTCACCGTCTATATCATTCTCCAATTGTAATACGAATTTATTCCATTCTTGTGGAGATAGATCTATCATATCATAAGCTGATTTTGCCGAATATTCTTCAGTCCATACAGTTTTATTGTACAGATTCGTAGCTGTCAAATTAAGAATCGTTGTTCGATGATCAAGTACTGATACCGAATTTTCAATCTATAGAATATAATAAAAATATTTTAAGATTAGTAAAATAAAAATGCAGTTAGAAATTTTCAAAAGCTTCTTACATCAATAGCATATACTCGATAGCCTGGATTGACGTTTGGATAAGTTGTAAATGAAGGTGTAATGTAAGCAATAGAAATCTTGGAAAATAAAAAAAATAGTAGCATTTATATGTTCTATGACATTTTGTTTTTTCAAAACTCACTGGTTGTGTAGCATTTGTTTCGTTATAGAAAAGCATAAATTCATCGAAATGAGTATGAGCAAAAAATTGACCAGTGATCGTCGATTGATAGCGATTCACAATACTATAATAAGCCCAACTAAATGATACCATACACATTCGTGGTGGATGATGTCCAATAATGTGAACTTTTTCTAGATGTTCTTCAGCATATTGAAGCCACTCGATCATCTGTAAGATGAAAATAAAAAAGTTCAATTTTATACTGCGAATAAATTTTACGAAGTTATTAGAAGAAAAAAAATAAATAATATAGTTACCCACTGCAATTGACCTAACGGATCTGTTGAATTAATAAAAAGCCAATAATTATTTTCCGTACAATAATTCATATTTAATGAAATTAAACGAAGCTTTGATACGATCGTTGTCGTATAGTAGCCGCCTTTAAGAATAGTATCTCTTGTTTGTTCTTCAAGTCCAAATTGATCAATCCATTGATTAGCTAAGGTGGAATAAAGCCATGATGTAGCATTAGTGGTTGGAAAAAGATCTGGTGGTGCTGATTCATGATTACCAACACATGGATATATTTTTTTATTTGGAAATGTCTCTGTCAATAATTGAGTTGTAAAGAAAATTTCGTTGAGATCTTTATCTTGCGTTTGCTGCCATACGTCATGCGGTGCGATGTCACCAGTGAAATAGATGAAATCAATTTGTTCTTCATTTTGAACAATATATTTTAACATGCTTTCGGCAGTCCATTGTGGTAGATCACATGTACGATAATCACCCCAAAAACCTGCACCTGTTTCGCCTGGTTTTGGCAGTCCATCGCGACAGCAGAGTGGCCGACCACAATCAGCATTTGAACCAGGTTTATATTCTATGTCAATATGTAGATCTGCTAGATGAAGAACTGAGAGAATAGATTGAGATGGTAGATCATCAGCTGAAAGAGCCGCTAACGATGGTGCTGATTGACTCGATGGAGGAAGTGTTACATTCCATCGAAGAACAGGTATATCAGCTTGTGGTAGACAGCCAAATGCTACACCACATATTTCATATGTTGATAAAGGACTAAAGCGAAGTACTTCAATAAGTACATAATTGTATTCATTGATCATGCCGGCACATACTGCATCGTCAGCAAGATGGAGTTGTTGACATATTATTATGCCTAATTCTTCCATTAATAACGATTCATTTCGCGCAATAAGAGTTTTTGCGATCGGCAGCACAAGATTACATAATTCACATGGAGTTAATTCAATCGGCTGAGTAATAATTTTCACAATGGGAAAAGTGTTCGAACCTGATAAAACCAGAAGAAAAATTGTGTCAATATACAAGTATCCAAAAAACATCATGATGCGTAGCAAAATATTTATCGTATCTTTCTTGCAACTATTATATTTACTCAAGCACACGTGCACACTTCGAATGATAAGAGAATAATGGCAATCGTACCTCTGTAATTTCACACAATAGAACCCTGTGAGATCAAGTAATACGTATATCTTTAGCATTGTACATTGTGAGGTTCATTTTAACTTCTATGAATATAACAGAATAGTCACGACACGAGTTTTACGATTATGTTGTTCAAGAAACAAAATTAAGCTTCATAGCTGAACTGAAAGTATATCCGTTACACAGAGAAATAGCTAAAATTGTGTATATGTAGCATGTAAAATATTTGCTACGCTTAAACAAATTTGTCTTACTTTTTCTTGAATATATCAATATGATGCTTTAAAATTCACCTCAACAATAATTAAATATTGATTTCCAAGCGTTGTTTTTCATAAATAATTCATGGTATCATCGAAACTAATATTGATCGAAGCAAAACATACGCATAGTCATACACATTATACCTATTTTCGGGGCAAAAATGTATGTTTTCGTTTCCTGGTTATATCAAGAACGAAGTAAATATGTACACTACAGGATGCGCACTATATAAAGTATGTCGTAGTGCGTACACTGACTATTGTTTTGTTGAGAATTCTACAAATATTAACAACTTACTATAGATTTCATCAGTATTTTTTCAAGAAACAAAGTCGGTAAGGGAAAACGTAGAGAATCTTATATACTCATGCTGTTAAAACTTCAGATTTTGATCGCTATGCCATCGAAACACACGAATTATGAACTGAAAATTTTAAATTGGGATGGTTCTCAAATCATTGACGTCGAATATAAATTTGAAGATACTCATGCTAATAATGGTAGTCGTTTTACTCGCAGAATATATGTTAACGGACCTGACTATGGAAGAATATCTTCAAGAAATATGCCATTCATGTTTGTTCGGCAGGCGCATGACGACATGGCTGAAGTATTTCGTTTACTTGATAAGTACTATTCAGGTGCAATCAATATAGAAGAATTGGTTGCTTTTTTGCCTTGGATTGCGCCAAATACTAATCGACACATAAATTTTCATCAAATTCAAAGATTTGCAAAGAATCGTCATTACACATGAAACATTTCAGAAATCAGTGACTTGATAAAGCACGATATTCGTCGTAATCTGGCACTCGTAACATAAAACTGTTTATAATGTAGTATTGATAGATTAAAATAAAATTTTGCCAAGATTATCTACTCTATACTCTAATTTCTGTGTAGAGAGAAGTAATTTCATGGAGAGTATAAAGATATTCCATTGATAGAACATCTTTTTTTTCCACATGGAAGTGCTTTGTCTTTTTTTTTTAGAGATTCTGTTTTTTCTTTCAACTTCAGTTATGAAGTTGAGGCTTTCTCAGTGATCCTTCAAATACAGTAGTCAGGTTTATTACATGTTAATGAAACAAGTTCATATCTGTAATTCGAAATAAAGTACAGCAAGTTGTCAATATTGTCGATCCAAATGTTCGATCAAAATAATAAATAGCTGACCTGAGTTCAACTATTTTAATATTAATATTATCATGTGTTTTTTTTTTTTTACAAATATCATTGTCGTGTTCATCATTATTATTTTTGTCCTGGCAGATTTATCATGTTTGAACTGGTTAATTTGTAAGCTGATAGAAAGAAAGTGGACATCGAAAATTTCTTTCTATTGTTAAATTATTATGTCTTGTTAATGAAACTATTTGTGGTTCAATTTGATTTGATGGTTGTTGTTGTTCTAATGTAACAGCAAAGTAAAAAATCATTAAAATGATTAGAATCCATTTTGAAATACGAACAATCACACATTCAAGTATTACCTGAAAAAGGAGATTTTTATTAAATCATGAGACAAGTTTATTGTCTAAAGAAGAAAAACGCTTTTATGACCATGAGATATATTACTGTTTTATTTCGTCAAAGCATTAATGACATCAATTTTGATGTTGTAAACAATGTCAATATTTATTACAAATATTTATTTAATTAAGTTCAGAAGACTTGAACCATTTTCTTAGCTTATATTCTAAAATATACTCAATACAACAAAATGGAAGAAGATTTTCAAGGCTTTGACGCATATTTGTATCATTTTCATCATCTGACTTGGTAAGAAGATGTTGAATCAATGTGATCTCTAAGTTTTCACCGTATAAGTTGCAAATTGCTTCGACTATATTCTTTGAGTGTCTATCTGGTGATGAACAACTTCGATTAGTCATCCTGTGTGTACTTTTAGTCACTAGCATAAGTCAACTTTCTCTGTAAGCGTTACATAAGTAAGTTTCTGGTAATTTTTGTTTAATCCAACTTTCAGGTGATGAATAAAAATCACCACATGGAATTTCAAAGTCCTATGGCGATTTTGCGAGTGTTTTCTCAAACAAAATCCATCACTTCAAGATGATTTAAATGAATTGGAGAAAAGTTACCACTTTAAACAAGAATGACGTTCTTGTTTTGGATTGTGTTACTTATCGACAAAGGTAATTTAATCGTGTCAATTTGCATTTGAATTTCACAAGGAAATCGAACTAAAGATGATGTCCAGACACCACAATCTATTGAAAGTTTAGTGACAGATTGAAAGGCCAATGACCGCCATTTATCAAGTAGATCTGAGCAATCTAAGAAGATTATACAGTCCAAAGTGCATCTCTTATCCTTCTATTGGACCACCAATAGTATCAAAATATGCTTGAATAAATACTTTGAGCATTATAGTTTTGACTAGACAAATCACCATGGAAAAGACAAGAACGAATGTGAACTTGATTTGATACAAACAGCGATATTATATGTGGAACAAGTCGTTCACAAAGAAGAATCAATTCCATATTGTTTGCATGATCACTAATCAAATGAGGATCGATTTTCATTGTTTGTACAACGGATTTAAAATGTTGCTCGATAGAAAAGGGTGCATCAATCGTCGTGCCGGGTATTATCTTGTTCTGTATTTATATAATAATTATTAATATCAAATCCAAGTCGATCAGGGCGTCAGTGTAGATCTGGAACTTCTTTGGTTCTCTCAACTTTGGTCGAAATAAAAATGTCGAAAAAGAAAAATATCAGTGCAGGTGGCGCTTTACTCCATTTCGACATTTTTCCTTTCGGCCAAAGTTGAGAGAACCGATCAATTATCAACAAAGAGAGATGATACATTGATTATTAACTTTTCAAATACGATATTTTGATGAGGACTACTTACCTTTCAAGTCTCTTTATATTATAATATCTACCTATGAATAGATGAGTGAGATATTCGTCTGACAGATCTTGGACTTCAAATGGTATTGTAAATGTTGACATTCAATTTTAAGTTAGAATGCAAAAATATTTAAATATGACAGTAGGATTCGGGAAAGATTACTTTTAGTCTATCAGATATAATATCGAATCATATCGCGTAAACATTTCGCTACACAACCTTACTACGACTTTTCACAATTGAATTAAGTGAAAACTTTGAAGTCGACGAATTACTTGTGTATTATAAAAAGCATATAATACATGAAAAAGATTGTGGCAAAAGAAAGATGAGCTGTTAATGAACGAAAGAGGATGCCTGACAGAAAGAAAAAAGGGCAGCATCCGTTCATCATAGCCTATTGTAATGGCATGAATATTTATCGTTTCATTGTTGTCTCAGATGGTAATGAGAAAAAAAATATGTGAATATAAATGAACGCGATTGAACTGGATGAATTAGACATGAACATTTCGAATGGCAATCATCTCAATATACTTGATTTGCCCAATGAAATTTTATTCATTATTTTTAAAAAACTGAATATGGTCGATGTTCTGTATTCACTTATGGATGTTACTCAACGATTTGATCAATTAGTATTTGATCCATTTTATATTCGTAATCTTAATATGACCTCTATGACAATGAAATCATTTTATGATCGTACCTACTCAATAGTCAATCAAGTTCTTGATGGAATTTGTAAAAATATATTACCTCGAATTTATGATCAGGTAAATGAACTCGTTATCGAACAATATTCAATGGAGCGTGTTCTTCATACTGTCAATTCTCCTCAACTTTATTCGTTAACACTTATGGATTTTCCAGAAGAAGTACTTCTCAACTACTTAGCAAGTAAACTACGTTACTTTTAATACAATAGTGAAATCATTGGAAATAAGTTAATAATTGTTTATCTTTTTTTGTTTATGAATTGAAGGTAATACAATTCTTCGCAAACTTCTTATTGAACAAATTACATGTCTTAAAATTGATGTTCAGGATAAGCCAACAGAACCACCTCCTGAAACTCTTGGAGTTATGTTTGCTTTGATTTTATCTTTATGTAAACGATTAATCAAATTAAGTTTTTGCCAATTGTTTCATCGATCAACGCTCTGTACTTTTGAGTTATCATCAACCAATTTCAAGTCTTCAAATTTGACTGCATTGAAAATTAATGTGAAAACTTTCGACGATTGCCTTTATCTACTTGACGGACGTTTCAATTGTTTATCAACATTGATTATAGGTGTACAAATAATTTCATATACATCAGGAACTATCGATAATACCGTTAGTATAATTGTCAATTCTTCCCTTTCGAGCAAAAAACAACAGCGAATTCGATAGTTAAACATAATTTTTTTTTATAGAAAAAGCTTCCCAAATTGAAACACTTCTCATTAACATCATATCGACATTTATTTGTATGTGACAATTTAATTATTCCATTACTTCAACGAATGATAAATCTTGAAGAATTGATATTATATCTGTCAATAATACGAAGTAACAAGAATTATATTGATGGTAGTGAATTATATGATGATATTCTTATTTACATGCCACGATTAAACAAATTTACTTTCAACATACACACAAATGTAGATAAGAACAATGTTGAAATTGCTTTTTCGTCAAATGAAGATATTCAGCGTAGTTTCAGCAGAAAAGAATATGGGTCAGTTGCTTCACATATTGAAAACTTCACAAGAAAAAATAAACGGAGATGTCATAGCTATTCATTACCATATGAATTCAAAAGTAGATGTCACATCTATTCGCTGCCATATCAATTCAAAAGTTTGCATCTTCTAAATAATTCTTTTCAAAGTGGACTATTTGATAGTGTTCTATCCTTGATAATGACCGACTGCTGTCCTTTTGAGCATAACTTCTTCAATGTCATCTCTCAAAGTTTTCCTCTATTGAAACAGTTGGGTATCATTAATGATGAACCGCAGAAGGACAAGCAACAATCGACGCCATTGATCATATTTCCTCATCTTATTTATCTCGATCTTAATGGTGCTCGTGCAAATTATGCTGAGCAGTTTCTCGTCGATATGCACTGTCATTTACCTTGTTTTTTGGACCTTAAGATCGGCTATGAATCACTCGTTCTGGTCACAAACAATTTTACTAATGATGCTACACGTCTCACTTGTAGTAAATTGACCAGCCTTTGTATAAAGGGGGTGTTTGTACCTCCAAAAACTTTTCATGAGTATTTTCCTTTATTGTAAATATTACTTTTGTTAAAATTTATGTCAATAAAAGCAAATAGTACGAGAAGATTGAATATACATTGATCATGCTGATTAGATAAAATTAAATTAATATAAGTAGAAGAAAAATGTTTTCTTTAATGATTCAACAACAAAGTTTGATTGTTATGTATTTAGCGTTTCAAAAATAATTGTATTCAAAAACAATAGTTTAGATCACATATTGGTATCGGTGTAGTTAGTGGTGTTGTTGTTATAGTTATTGATAATCTTGATGTGGATAAATATTTATATTATGTTGTATCTATTTCACTTGTTTAAGCATAATGTTTTGCAGTAGGCTATGTGTTAGGTTTAAATTCTGAATTAAGATCCATCTTCTTTTCAGGATCATGATGAACATAAAAATGCTTTTGATATTTCATATTCATAACTTGTATAAATAAGAAATAAAAAGAAGAATATGTTAGATATCATTGTCAACCTATTAGCAATAAACTGTAGGCAAAAAATGATTTAATTTAATTTGTATTTGTCAGTTGGATTAGAGATAGAATAAAGCATCGATTGAAAAGGCATAACATAGTATTTAGCAATCATTGAATGTTTATCTGTTGTCTATTCTTCATTGTAAAATTGTTCTCTTAAGTTATATAAACAGAACAAATCAATTACTGATACACATGATAATAGAAGATTTATATTCACATTAAGTTTTTCCGTGATAATTATCAAAGAGTACGTTAAAATAAAATTGAACAAGAACGAAAAGTTGAGATTGGGGTGTGGGTGACTCGATGTACGTGTTGGTGTGTATCTCGACATGGATCCGTTTGTGGTTGTATCAGGAACATATTTAAATCCACATCCACACCCACACCTACACGTTCTCTGTTTACAGTCGTTAAACTACTTCATGCTAAAAATCAATATTTTGATAGAAAAGGTGTACTCTTTTATTTTCGAGCAAAGTTTGACAAAAAAATTAAATAGGAAGAGTAACAACCAAAATACTCCACGAAGGGATTGTGATTGAAAATGCACCACCGACTGACCAAAAAGGACGTCTGACAATCGATGCAGCATTTGGATTAACCATAGTATTCTGTACTGTTGTCGGATCAACACCTGGGCCAGCTGTCAAGATTTCCATGAAACCTTCACAGCAGAGAGTTGTACCTTGAACTTGTACTCTAATATAAATATCATTCTGATCTGCATTTACTAGTTTAAGGATTAACATGCTGTCATTGGTGCGTTTTGTTGCAACAAAGTAAAGATTACCAAGTTTACCATCGCCTTCCTGTCCTTTTTCTACCGATTGATGAGTGAAGCTACTATTGGTAGCAGTGGAATTGAGAATAATATTACCAAGATTTTGACCAAACATTTTTTGAGCCAGATATGATGTTGATTTAACGACTGAACTATCGTTGAAGACAATCAAATTTGGTGTCCATTGTGTATTGAAAATATTTTGAAGAACTGGAGCATAGCAGCCACCAATAATGACATCTGAATTACGTTCAAAACCGATTCGATAGACAGATTCAGCAACAGCCGATTTAATAGATGGATAATCGAGTCGACCTGCTCCAAATGGATTATTAATTTGTGAATCATCATCATTGATGACTGAAAATTCTCCTACAAGTACTTTTGGACTTGGTCGAGGAATATTTTCATAACGACGAAAATTTTGTATAAAAAACAATGGCACTTGATAATCGTGATCATCAACAGCTGGTGGAGAGCTAATAGATTTGGTTGTCGTAGCAATAAAAGTAATATTAGGATATCGTTGAGAAAGAACATTGTAAAAAGCTGGCCAACGGTAACTGTATGAACTTGCAGCAAAAAAATCCTCATTACCGATTTCTACATATTTAATATCAAATGGCTCGCTACGACCTAAACGTTCGCGTAAAGCGCCCATACTATTGTTACTCGCAGAGGCAGTCAAAAAGTCTAATTCGTTGATAACTTCATTAATGTAAGGTTGAAGTTCATCTTGAGGTACTGCTTTTCCATCTAATGAATATCCAGCGTAAACTGCTAGAACAGGTATTGCACCGATATCTTCAACAAAAGTTAATAATTCAATCAGTCCGAAACCTTCAGTATTGTAACCTGTCCATGTTCCTCGTCTTCCTGGACGATTCTCAAGAAGATCAATAGTATTATTCCAAATAAAACGTTCAAGAATGGTATGACCTTCAAGATCATTACCACCTGGAAGTCGAACATAGCCAGGTTTTAAATCAGCAAAAGCTTGTGCAATATCCCTGCGAGCACCATTGACTCGATCTTTGTAAGTCGGTGGAAAACAGGAAACAAGATTAAATTCAAAGTCACCCTTGGAACCTGGAGGAAATTCAACAAAGAAAACGTTTTTGACCGATGAAGTATTATTAAAGACAGGAATAGTAAACGAAAAATGAAACCAATTATCAGCAGGAATTATGGATACATTGATTGTAGATAAACCATACGTCATTTGACCAGTAGAGTTGCTGAATCCAATACTGAGTTGACCACCTGCTACATATGCTTCTCCTAATGATCGATAAAAGAAGCTTGTCGTATAGTTTTGAACTTGAATATTGATGCCATAAAAGCCACCGTTTCTGAAACCAGAAGGTGAAGTTGAGTTTTCAATGAGCGAATATCTCAAATGAACCGGTAAAGCACTTGACAAAGGTTGAGAAGTATTAAGAGCAATTGATCCTTGTCCAAATGATGACCATCCATCGAGTGATCCACCCTTTTCTAAGCATTATAAGCAGATCAGAATTTGCTGTACGCATATATATATATAGATATAATAGGAAAATGACTCACCTTGAAAAGCGCGATTGTAGATCAGTTCTGCATATAAACCACCATCATCATCCCTATTGATATTTGTCTCGAGAATAGCGCCATGCATTGTAGATGGAATGTTTTGACCGGTATTTGCATTGTCAATATTGAGTGAAACAACATTAATATTGTTTTCATTCACGGTAGGCCAACCAGACGATATTTTTATGATCAAACAAGCTATGAAACCAACCAATGGTAGAGTGATCTAGGTATCAATTAAGTTAAATAGTTGTAATCGAAGGGAAAAAGAAAAAATTGCATATTACTTGCTTCATCACAAGCACCTTTATAGACATAAATGAAACAAAAACAAATATAGAAACACAAATAGAGATACTGTTAAAGAGGCAGGTAGAAGATAAGAGAGAAAACGAATGTGAGTAAATCAATTCAAAAATAGATCAACCTATCTCTTAACGAAAAGACAAATCAATCTGCTAGTCTTAACTCTTGTTTTCCAGCAATCGGCTAAAGTCGAAAATGAAATAGTAAATAATTAAATACAATGCAGAGTTTAATTTCACTGACGCGTTTTCTGTTATTTATTTAATAATAAAATACTCTTCAGAGTTCTATATTGCAAATTAAAAATTTTTCTTGATATTGAGTAAGTTCGTTAGGTATGCATTCTGATCGTGTCATACAATGGGGTATATGATTTCATTCTAAATTCTGAACAAAAAAATGAGCAGTCATTTCAAAAAGAAACGAGGAACTAGGGGATCTTCGTAAGTATTCACTTCAATGATTAAATCTAACTTCTGAATTAATTCATGTGTATACCGTATATATCTATATATGCTCATTTTCTCTATTTGACCGTGTCATTATTCATCACCAATGAAAACAATGAGACATTTTTTCTATCATCACAATTCACGGCGAATGAACAAATGAAAAAATGGCATCGCTTCTCTTTCTTTCTCTTTGTCCTATATGGAAATGAACGCTGACCAAATCTCTTTATATCTATCATACTGGTATATTTTAAGAAATGCAGTGTACGATGTATCATCACGCTTCGTTATTGTCATGGACGAACGTAGTCCTTGTCACAGTAAAAGAAGAAGAAAAAGAGAAAGGCGCGTATATATTTTGTTTTCATCATCAGATAAGCAATACATGTCTTTACAACTCATTGTACCACCGTCTATTCTATGTCCGAAATAAAGACAGAAAAAAGAAAATTTGTTTATCCGGTTTTAACACCACTAGATAATGATGGTACACGTTTTTAAGTATCTATTATTTATCGTGATAATACACCATCATTTGGGCTAAATATAAATCAATCAACTTTATTTTATCGTAATCAGATGAAAAAAATGTTGGAAGTATATCATCATCAGAACAAATGACAGCTCAAACAGCTGATAATTCAGATGAACAACAAGCACCAAATGATAAGACAACTACATCTGCTGATATATCAAAGGAAAATGATACAAATTCGCAATAATCAGATGATAAATCTAACACTAATTTATCAATATTACCAACATGGGCTTAGTTTGATCAAACTGTTGTACCAATTCTTCTTCAAGCAATGTTTCAGCTTGCTAAAGAACGGTCTGCGAAACCAATTAGTTTTCTAGTTAAATGTTTACTGAATCATAAAGATAAATACAATGAATAAAAACACGACAGAAAAAGTCCAGTATGACAATAGAGTATTCAAACAGTTTCTTATTTTTTCTTTTTTTCTGCTCAATTAATTTAATTATTAGCATCAGATGATTATGTTTCAGGTGGAAAATCATCATCATGAATAGGATCACTTGTTGTTGTTGATGGATTCTTTGAAAAATCATAATTAGTAGAATGCGTTGGTAGTGGTGGTGGTGGTGTAATTAAAATACCATAATTAGGACTAGTATCTGCTGTAGTTTGAATAGCAGAAGTATAATTATCATGGTCAACTGTTGTTGATTCATTTGGAAAATCATCCTTAACACGATTATGTGGTGGTGGTGATTGACTTGGCAAATAATGACTAGCACCAGCATCTGTTGAACGTGTATTTGAATTAACATTATTATCAGATCGAGCCCAGGTCGGTCAAAACGGATATCGTTACGGCGTCGTTTACGGCCGTAAACGACAAGAATGCGGGGTGTTTCCGACCGATACGATGAAAATACGGCCCGTTACGGCACCGTATTTCCCGTTTTAACAGGGGCAGTAATACGGCCGTATTTGCCCGTACCCAGGTGAATCAATCCGATACCGAATCCCATCGGACTCTATGGGGTCCTACCATCCGACGAAATCCCGTTGGATTCCTGGTTGAGGAATCAATGTCGGATCCGACAGTCGTATTTCCAATGATATCCGATTATCGGAACCAATGAAATCCGAAGCATTCCGGTTCAGATTGACGGTTACTGTCGGATTTTATTAGTTTCCGATATTAGGATCCGATATCTATTCCGGAACAAGGAATCCGACGATAATCCGATAGTTTCCCTGCGCCTTCCGAAGAGCTCCGTCGGATTCCAATAGGAACCGATCGGAACTCATCGGATCCTAGGCTAGGATTCATTCTCCTGGGTACCGTATACGGTGAGAGGTATACGGCCGTTTACGAAAGTTATGGTAATCGTTTACGGACCGAATTTTGATCCATTTACGGCCATAAATAGGTAGTTTATTTTCAGCTTAATCGTCATATTAACTTGCTGTTGTATGATGGCGAAGCCTATAAACTACTACAATGTTCGAATTCCTTTTTTCTTCGTCTTAAAAAAGCATTTTTTATTAGAAAAACTAAAACAAAAAAGAAGAAACATTTATGTTATTTAAACTTTCACCTATTTTCCATGATTGGACAAGTTACATGGGAAGTCGAAATAGTAAGCAACGAGAGACGCAAATATACAAAAAAATTTCATAAATTTTTCAAAGCATAATAAATCTAAAAATAGAAATAACAAACAGTTTCCTGTCGAAAAAGTATTAAAAAAACTTGGCATTATGTTTTTTTAAATGAAAAGAGAGGTCGATAGTGTCATCATGCTGCTAAAGTCTCTTGCGTACTCACGAAAAGCAAAAATCCGAGAAGTTGGAAATATTCAAATAAATATCTTCTTCAAACTTATAAATATTTTTGAATTTTCTACATATCATTGTTTCGAACGAATCAATAGAAAAAAGGAAAATAAAAAATCGATAAAAACTCCGTAAAACCCTCTAAACTGTGTTTTAAACCGTACCCAAAATTTTATTTGAAGCAGATTTTCATATTGAAACAATTTTCTATAGGGGCATCACAATCGAGGATTTATATGTTATATTGTTTATTGAAGTCGATTTCTTAGGAAATGTAGAATTTTTTTGGTAGTTTTCATCCAGAAATTAAGGAGCAACGTTGTTGCTATTGAATTGTGTGTTTTGCGTCTTCTGACAGCCTTCTACAGATACGACAAAAATACGTACCGTTTACGGCGCCCGTTACAATGCCGTTTACGGTGCTTCGTATACGATCATCGGAAATACTATCGTATTTCACCGTATCAAGATCGTATACAATCATTCACAAACGATCAGCCGTTACGAACATCGCATTTTGCCGTATTATCGTCGTTTACTGATGGTTTTATCCAACCTGGGATATATATAATGATCTTCAAGTAAAATGAGTTGTTGCATACGTCGAAGATGTTCTACTCGTACATTATCTTTTCCAAAAAGTGATGCTTCATCGATTAATTGAATAATATTACTATGAATAAATCCAATCTGCTGGACAAATCTACCTTGTCTTCAATATTGTAGAAGAGCATTTATATATCTAACATCAAGTATACAACAATTATTTGATATAGTATTAATTTCTAAAACGTCTAGAAAAATCACATTTGTGTCACAAACATTTCTTCTCAATATTGAACACTTTGAAAAAATTCTCGCCGCACGGTATCGTACTGTTTATACGAATGATGTTATCCATATAAAACCACAGCACATATCATAAGTAATAGATTCTGCTATTGCTCGCAGATTATTCCAGAATCACGTCTGTATGTCCTTTTCCCCGTCTGGACTGGTCCACGATATTGCAGAGCATCGCTCTGACTAGTCCGCTTGTCCACTTACCCTCATCTAGATTAGTCCAATATATTCTAAAGCATCATTGTGACTAGTCCGTATGTCCTTTTACCCGTTTAAACTGGTCTGTTTATTCATTTACCCTCACCTGGGCTAGTCCATAGCAGGGGAAAATATTGTAAAAAGGGAGAAGAAAGTTAGATTCAAACATTAGAGACACTTATAATACTATTAAAAATCAGACTGGCGTTTTGACGGCAGTCCATAATACAATAAGCCTTATGTCTATGTATATATTGTAAAACACAAATGAGTGTTTTCCATATACCATGCGTGCAGAAATCACTTGATGGAAACTGATTCTCACTACCCGAAAATACCTTTAATGGCAGTTAAAAGGATTGTTCCTAGGCTAATATAAACTGTTGTATGTTCGTAAAGATTATTCTATTTTTTAAGTACACCGTCAGTCCGAATTCTGAATTATCTAAATAAATATTAGAAGGAAAAAAATTGTTGAATANATACTGATAAATTGATCTCTCGATCAAATGGCTCAATGGTCTGAACGATGGGTAAGTAATAGTTGGTATGTGTGTTCGAATCTAGTTGTAGTCATAAAATATTTCAGTTTAGACTAGTCAGGATCTCGTCATTATATAAGACCACAACTCGTCATGTAAAGCGTCATGGACGCTCTTACTTTTATTTAGAATCATATTTTTGACGGGCGTCAGGATGGTACATCATGCCTAGGCTTTTTTCGAAAAAGATTACGCATGGCAAATAGAATGACTCCAGTCACTTTCATAGTCTGGACGGGCACTATGGACTATACAGGATTTCAGACTAGTCATGTACTAGGACTTTTTGAGAAAAAGACTAGACTGGGCGGGCCGACTTGTCTAGAAAAAAGACTAGTCTTTTGGTCATCTGGGATTGTAAATCGTTGCTCTATTTTTTCTAACCATTCAATAACATCGTCTTTTGCACCACGAAAGTTTGATGGAGATTTAATTATTTTTCTCGCCATAGCGATGAAAAAAGATGATGATAATGAGCAATTAATTTCGATGGATGAAGACTTAATGGAAGAAAATTGCTCCGTTCGCGTCTTATCATTAACAAACGATAACTGATGATCTTTTGAAGGATTAATATTAACTTTTAATCGATCATAAATATGTTGTTTCAACATCTTGAAAAAATATTGCCAATTATTTTCGATTTCGTGTTTTTTCTTGTTCATACCAACACCGTTCCTCATCTTGTAAATAACTAATAGTTTGCCAGATACGGGATGACGTGAGGTATCGTAAATCTTCGTATAGTTGATTCAAATCTAATAACCATTGATCTACGTATATTCGATGTTTCATCCTGTGTTAGCAATTTAATTGATACTAATTGCTGTTGTTCGTATTGTCGATAAGCATCCCATTTATCTAACGTAGATAAAACAATTTTGGTAGATTCGTTCTTATGAGTACCATCAGAATCTTCGATTGATTGTGTTAATGATGGAACATTAGTAAATTCCAAAATAGAATTAGATTCATTTTAAAGTTGTTGTTTTGATCGAGTATTGGCAGCCATGAGAATTATAATCAGTAATTCCCTTAACGGCACACTCCTTGCGCAAAGAAGGTTCCTCGAACATCGCTGTCATCACTGTAAGATACTGCACCACCAAATAGAAACATTTATGTTTGTGAGTTCGATATATGTGCAATATCTACCATGTTTATTTTTACTAAGTGAAGTATAAATGTAAACAAAAAGGAAAACACAGAAACGACAATGTATGACAATATATATATATATATGGACAAACAAGAATGATAATAGAGGTCAGGTCGTGACAATTTTATAGACCCACCTGATTCTTGCATGAAAAGATGACCCATACATCAAAGATTAAGATCTCTAAAATTAACCTCAGTCTAAACAAGCTAGCNCCGCTTGAAAATTTTATAGCGTTATTCTTATGTCTCATCTATGTGAAATCACTAAAAATATGGCTCATTTCACTTAGTTTAATTTGAGAACAAGTGGTCTTATAATTATGCACCACACTGTATATATATATGGACAAACAAGAATGATAATAGAGGTCAGGTCGTGACAATTTTATAGACCCACCTGATTCTTGCATGAAAAGATGACCCATACATCAAAGATTAAGATCTCTAAAATTCAACTCATTCTAAACAAGCTAGCTACCTTAAACAGTGAAAAAAACTTAATGCGTCGCAACGACGGAAAACGTTTCACAACGTTACTTTTGATTTTTTTCAATTTTTATACGAATAGTAATATCTAGGGAAATTTTTTTTATCGTTCGAAAGTTCATTTTGTGCTCTACAAGATTGATGCCAGGAACATTTTACACAGAGGTTGCCTTTCGCAGGAAATTCAAGGTTAAGTGAGAGCACTCAAAATTTAGGGTCCTTTTTTGTTACAGTGTTACGGGACTATAAACCATTTCTGGAATATCGATACTTTAACCGAATACTATGAATTTTATACTGTAAATAGAGCTCCATGAACTGTATTGAATGACGTTCGACCGAGTTTTTTAGTTGTAATATTAACATTCGAAGAAAAAGTTTTTGTTTAAGTAAAATTTCTTTGTTATGTTAAAAGTCATATGTAGTTCGATCAGATTTGATTGCTAATAAGATTCTACTTTAGATGAGAATGAATCTTCTGCGTGAATCATTGAAGGATTACATGAAATGTGAAGATCAAATGAAAAACATTGCTCTCTTGAGGCTGAAGAATTGACTTCAATGTTGGTAACAATCATAGAACAACAACAGTAATCGACAATCTGTTATGGACCAATGCTTTGCAAACGTTGATCGAGAGATAAAAAGCTCCCTTCTGATTATTCCTGAATTATTTTTCTAGTAGTATACTATACTTGATCTGCTACTAAAATATATGAGAACTTCATGATGAGGTATTCTGTTTGTGGTGCGGGGATTTTTTAGTTCGAGAAACATCAATTACCAAAATCTTTTAGTATATCCTCGGAAAATATTGTGTTGAAGCATACTGTGAGTGACTATGGATGTGAGAGTAGGCAATACAATACAAGAATCACCCACACTCTAAAAAACATTATCCTATAACCAAACATATTTTAGGATATTAAGAATCATTTACAAAAAAATTGCTCTCTCGAGAACACTGGTATAATAGAAAATATTGTATTGATTGCCTGTCATTGCGAATTGATTGTTGGTGCCATTAGCTGTAGATGCACAATCATTAAGAAAAAGTACACTATTAAATTATTGCGTATCAATGGATTATTGTTTACCCATTGCCTACACCGAAGTGCAAAAGCCAAATGTTTTTCGAGAGAAGAATAGGCAGTATATATAAGCAACCGTTCTTCTCATTATTCATATTCACTTGATTCAAATTCGTACAAGATGCGTTTCTTTCTAGTTCTCCTTCTAATTGTATTGATCTATGTAACATTCATAGCCGCTGCTCAAAATAAGACAAATGTCATTAAGGTCCATCCCGGTAAGATATATTTGGTTCATCATTTATCAAAATTTGTGATCACTTAGGTCAATGTCCTGTGCATCTAATAAGGTGCATGATAAAATGTCCTATGATGATAAATGACAGTTGCAAAAACGCCAAGCCTCCATGTTGCACAACTGATGAACAATGTCCAAAGAAACAAAAATGTTGTCAACCAGCTTGTGGCTGTTGGAAAGTGTGCACTAATGTTGCAACCTAATTTGAACTCGTGAACAATTACAGCATTGACTTATTTTGACTCTTTCTTTTTAGTTATAACCCTATTTGCTACAGGTTCAATAATAAACTGAAACCAGTGTAATTCTCATCATCATTTGTTCTACGCGGAGGAACCAACGAGACACTGTAATCGAATTTATTTTATGAATTAGTTTACTCCAAATAGTTATTTTAATTCAATGAAAAATAATTTCATTCAATCATAAAAATTACTCCTTTCAGCTGAATCAATGCATACAAGTCTTATTTAAACCACGAAATTTGAAAATTAGAGACCGATCAGAGATTATGAGCGTCAAACGAATCCTTCCTATTTACGACCAAGAAGAAAACTAGTTGTCAATTAAACAAGATTGTTTTACATTGTTGACTAATTGTGAAATTGAAGGTTTCACTAATTTTTTTTACCATGATCGAGTTTTAAGATAAAAATTTGAAGGTTTAACCTATAAAAATGAGTATAGAGGGTGTGGGTGGGTAAGAAGCTACCACGACGCGTTTCGGCTGATGCTTAGTCAGTCTCATCAGGTGGCTTAGTATCTCTAGTTCGATTCAGAAAAGGAGGGGGCGCATAAGAAGCCAAATCGGTCCATTTTATTTTTGCCTTTGAAGATATTGAAAAAATGCACGAAATTACCAAAACAAATGCGGTGATTATTTCTACTTCGAAAATAAAGGGTTTTATAAACATTTCATAGATCAAATATACAGCGTGACTTAATAGAGCACTTATATAGATATCTAAAATGAATTCGCCTACCATCGCTAAGAAAATAGTCTTCCAAAAACTTGGAAAACTATCTCAATCGGCAGAGCTTGAAAAGTTCTACAAAATGATACTATTTCCGAATTGAAGAAGTGAACGTAATGGCTGGCAGCTAAAATCAAGATAGTCTGTGTAGAACTGTTTTGTGATAGATGCTATCTTTGGGGTATATGTTCAGGACATACTTTGCTTTGGGTGAAACAATTTGCATGGTTCTATATATGTGGTTGCCAAAAAGGAAGGAATAAAAGGTTCGGGATATGACCAGAAAATATTAGATATTGCAGAAACAGCAGCTTACTTCAGCAAAGTATTCAAACCGGTCGCTTCACATTAGTTTCGTTGGTTGAAAACGGGTAGCGGTGAGATATAGCTGCAAAATTGGCAATGTTCTGTTAAAGTTCTTCTAGGCGATGTTGTGGTCTATCTGAAGGTCTACGGTGTTACAGGTGTATCGAAACTCGTTCGTTGCAAGACAAGAAGCTACATTTTGAAAGTTCTCCATTCTTGAACGGATCTGTCTAATAGACATAGATGGAATGCGTTTCGTGCATATTCATATTCTTAGTTTTTTTGTTAATCATGTGTACACCCACGCGTTGATCCATCCTACTGTCAACGCATTCATCCACACTGTCACTCATGCGCTCATCTCTAATGTCATGACTGACCCTTTAGTTATAATCAGTGGTGATCACGCGGTGAACGACACGCACATCAAGAGTAAATCGAAATACACTGGTACATTTGTATATTTCATTCATACATTCATTTTCATTCTTATATAATGCCTCGTGAAGAGCGTTATCGATGTTTCTGGTGCAAGGGACAAATCAATCCTGATGACTCTGTTTGTGGGACTTGTCGAAGACGGTATGATCGATGGCGAAAAGCTATGCAAAATGATTTCGATCACCTTGATGTACCAGTAAATAAAACGGACCCGCAAGAGAATGAAGAGCCTATAGTAAGTTTCTCAACTTGATCTTATTCCTGAATCTTTTTTTTTTCTATAAACCAATGGAAGTCGATACTGATATCGTGACGGATAACGAGGACATGGAAAGTGAGAAAGAAGAAATCTGATGAACAACGGACAATGATTCTCCTTAGTAGGAGCATTTGGGTACCAAAAGATGCGCGCTGTTGTTCCAACCGTCTTTACAAAGGATATCTGTCATATGAAACCCGACAATCAGTGAAACAATCCAAAGTTGATGATATTCTTCTGAATAAACATAATGTAGAGAAATTGATTGATAATTTTTGTTTGGCTCTCAAGCATGCTGGTTCGCTTTATTTCGATGACCCAGGAGCTCTTGACAATGAAACCTATAAAACCATTACTGCACTTGATCGAGGTACTTTATTTAATTGTTTCGAATAAGCTTCTCAGTTTGTCTATTTGGAACTTTAGATCATTTTAATGATTTGCTGGATAAGTTAACTACTATGCGCAATTCTCGCTTGTGTATTTCGATTAGCATCCAAACGAAGTGTCTCTCGCATCTGTCATCAAGTACGAGTAGCCCTCATGCAAGATTTCGTACCCTATCGCGTTGGCTTTTAACACGTATCAAAAGAGATCATTTTTGCTCAACATCAAACGACGGTGGCAGCAGAACTTCTTACTAATGACCAAGACCAAGTGGTTCTTATTGCAGATGGAACTTACTTTTTCTGTCAAAAACCATCAAATAATGAGTTCCAACGGCGCACATATAATCAGCACAAACCGGCATCTTGTGAAGCCTATGATTATAGCTGCTAGTGTAAGTATCGGCGAAAGTTCAGAATTTCACCAGAAGATTTTTACTGATTAATAAGAAGTGAGAATAACGTTCGTTGACAAGAGACAATTTTTGATTGCTTTGAACAAAGATATCCATATTTCACTGAACAAGTTTTTATCTGATAGGATGGTTATATCATCAGTTCCACAGGGCCATTTCTCACGGGTTCATTAAACAACGATGCAGCTATTCTGAAGCACTGTATGCTTAACAATGAACAATAGGGTGTTGTCTTGACTTCGCAATAATGACGTACTGGTATTAGATCGTGGGGTAAGAGTCGAACCTATAGGGTTGTTGATAATTGTTTGTAATATTACAGTTTCGTGATACTGTTAACACGCGAAATCGACTTGGTCTTCAAGTTGCTATGCATGGTTTTCTATATAATGAAAAGCAGCTCCCTGCTGATGAAGCTAATCGAACTTGATTCGTTACGAAGAACCGATGGGTTATTGAAAGTGGTAAGATTTAAACTACACAATTTACAGCGGAACAACAGCCCATAAATACTATTATTTTATCGATGTTTTCATAATTTAGTTAATGGAAAGATAAAGCAGTGGAAATTCATGGCTCAAATCATTCAAAACTAGACCCCACGGTTTATTAGCGACTATTTAGATATCATTTGTGCGCTTATTAACAAGTACCAATACCCAGCTGTGAAAGACATCGAGAATGGCGGAGAAATTGCAATGCAGAGGCGTGAAATGCTAACAACTGAAAATCGATTACAGGAAAGGCTTGCGAAACACACGGGTACAACATCACTACATTGGTCAAAGCACAACGCTGCCAATTTTCAATTTCCACCACTGACCGAAGAAAACATTGGTGATCTTACATTTGGTAACATTAAAACTAATCACTTTTAGTATTTTAAGCGTTTTCTGCTTGTTAAGGTTCTTATCAAATCAGGATGGCAAAGTCTGACATCATCGAGCACATCAGGCAGTCTCAAACAAATGAAGAAGAAATGGAATTTATCGTTGAACTTTGTAATGAACACGATGACTTAGTTCGAGCACGATTTCAATCACGTCACTCAAACAACAAGAACCATATTGCTACTGTACAATTCGACCACCACAAGCAACAGCCGATCGATGGATGGTATTGCACTTGTTCTACAGATGCACGAGAAGTCGACATATGCTCTCACATAACAGCCCTTCTATGGCACTTAGGTGTTAACACAGCTGTTATTGCCACCGATAATCATCCGCTCTTTGCATCTCGATTGATCAGAGCCATCGACGACAGCACACACTTCAGCGAAAATGACAGCAGCTTAGATGATCTATCCTGATGAAAATAAGTTTAAAGATAACTTCACGTATTTACATTTTCGTGCAACTGTCTATTAAATAAACACGCGTCTCTGGCATTGTTAAAGCAGCCCAGGGTCAAGACTGCTTCCATCTTCATCTTTAACAATTAATAATTAGTAGTCCCAGTGAACTTGCCAAAAAAGCTTGTTAGCGCAACCCCTTTGGGGCTAAAATGTGGAACTCACATATATCCATTTGGCTTACTAAAATAATTCAAAATAGTTCATCTGAAAAATCTACTCTGATTTCAAAAGCATATAATTAGGTCATTGCCAATTCGCTTATGTCTGTAATGGACAAACGTTGATTTTTTTCGTGTAGTCTGTAATTGAAAAAGGAAGAAATAGCAGCCTAATTAGTCAAGCTCCTAATTAGCACAATTTTTAACTCATTAATGTCTGTAATGGGGGAAGAGGGGTGGGGACCCCCAAAAATCTCGTTTTTAAACTTACACTCACCATTTTCTTCGAAAATATATGCGAGTTTCACAAACCAATTAATATAAAAACACGGAATTTTTCGCGCGATAATAACGTCTTATGAATGAGTTAGACACAAATGCTCATGAATTCAATATTGACTTCCGTAGGCCTTTTTCTAGTATTGAAAATCACGTCATCATTTAGTACTTATTTCGGAATGATATCAGTGATCCACATCTTGGTTAACTTTTTTCCCCTGTTAGTTTGTATATTGTTTAACTCTGAACTACTTTTCTTTATCAAGCTATTGACTTCTCCCAAGTTTTTAAATGGATGTTGTGGTAATGCTATTTATTTATGAAAGTTTTCAGCAATTTAGTTAGCAAGGTTTGCGTTTTGCTTTATACCTACTAAGATGCCTTTAGTATTAAAAGTAGTTCGATCATGTTCATATTATTTTTCTGTGTTTTAGATGTTTAAAACCTTTTTATTAAAATTGTTAAACTCATAATTATATACCGATTTATTTATCTTGTGCTAGATCTATCATGAGAAAAATTTCATAAGTGAGTTTCATTTCTCCCGAATAAATAGCATATATTTCTATTACTTGTTCTAGATTCGTTTCACGAAAGAGATTTTTAATATAAATTTGCTTTGAACGTATACATATAAAGATGCATTGTTTCGCTTTAGGTTCTTTCGATGATACATAACAATCGTCACTCTTAGCGTGAAAGCATGTGTTGGTCGCTAGTATATCTGATAGAAAAGAAAGGGATTGAATGGTCAGTTTGACTATGGAGATTTTCTCTGAGTTTTGCTTTGGTCAGTGAAGTACTTGTTTTGACCAGGAGGAAAGTGTTTTTTTTTGTTTCTATGGAGTTCTGATTGAGCGTGTCAGCTCCTTCTGGATCCTGACGGCTGCGCTTGACTCATACAGGATCGATCAGAATGCAATGGAAGTAAAGGATACAAGAATGCGACTTTTCCCTGGCGTTGCGAACTCCACTTGCAGCAGTAGCTTGAAACATGGAGATTTTGATGACAATTAATGAACGAGAATTGTACGCGAAATTCATGTTACTTGCTGTTGTTGTAGAACCGTTTTTCTCGAATTAGTGAAAGGTTCAGTAGAGAGACAAAAGACATAAATGATCATCTTTTATTCAAGATAATAGAATAAACACCCAGTTTTGCATCATATTTGTTACTGATCATAAACCGATGTCGTACTATCCGTCAACTCGTGATGATTTGTACCACCATGAACAGTATTAGCTGTATTATCTACCCAAGTTGAACGATATGGTCAGTATACAGCCGTTTACAACGAATCGACGGGCCGTATGCTATCGAGAATACGGTATGCTATCTGGCCACGTTACCGTAAAAATACGAATGACTGTATTCATCAACCTCAGTGTGGAAGTAAAATAGATTGAACCATAATTATTTAAATCGCTGACAGCATTATTTGCTGTACTATTTGTAAAATTTTGCGTATGAACCAATGCTTGCTTATTTGTTGCCAATTCATTAATAGTATAAATTTTAGCAGTTTAATTTTTTTAATTTCGTCAATCAATCTTTCTAACTGGTGGAATTCTGTAAAAGAAATGTTAAAAAAAGACAAATTATAACGTCAAGGCAACGAACCATTTATTATGAATGTAATCATTAATTATCAAGTGCATCACCGAATATATTTTATCATTCTAATATGAAAAAAGGAATGAATTAAAGAAAAACATTTTAACCTCAAATGAACCACCCAGGTCGAACATTCCGGCCACCGGATCCCGCAGGATACTCCAGGGAATATGCGGGTAAGTCACCATATCCTGCAGGAAAACACGGGACCTCGCTGGAACATGGAAGCAGTATTCCGGTCAAAAATACGGTCGGGCTTTTCCGGCAGGAATTGATCGCAAATCACCGGAAAATTTTTCAACCGGAATACTGCTTCCACAAAATCAACGGAACTACCCGGAACCAGCCGTTTCCAGGTCGGACTGTTCGACCTGGGCACCTGTTCTGATAAGTGAATTGTTCACAAAGATTTCAATTAAATGAATGGGGAGGGGGGAGATGGGAGTTGAGTTTGAATGTGAGAAAAGTCTATTCACAACCACACTCTTTGTGTTTTGCTTTGAACAGTGTGAAGGAACAGAAGAAACGAAACTAAATTCAAAATATAATGTTCAAAGATTACCAAGTTAATTTGAATTCTTAAAACGAATAGAGATTGCTATCTATAGGAAATGTATTTATTTACTCCTGATCAAATCATATAAAACGAACAAGAGGACTAGCAAAGTGTTTTTATTTTTCGGTAATGGCGGGCGTTTCGATTGGTCCACCTTGATAGCCTGGTAAAAATGATGGCTCAGGTCCTCTATGGCCCATATAAACGGCACGACCATCTGATTCGGCCAAAAATGTAACGACATGCGGTGGTGTAAAAATGAAAACATCACCGGGATTTCCTTCGTATACATTTTTTTGTTCGTCCATGACAATAATTTTACCGCTCACGACTGTTTTGACTTCCAAATATTCATAATAGAAAGGAAAATTATTTGGCGACGGACGCATCTCGAAATGGCCCATTGTGAGCGGTTTGTTTTCATTGCTGATGGGAACATCAATTATGCTAGAATTGAGGCCAGCGCACATATAAGTTTCAGCAAGTGGTACCATTTCAAGCGATCCAGCCTTTATTAATTGAATACCAGGTTTTTGTGCTAACGGTTCAGGAATCGTTTGAGCCATGTTCTAAAAAATAGAAACAGAAAATAAAGAATACATTGTGTTCTTTCTAAGAGCTTCTACTCCATACAAAAATTAAATATTTTTAAATGAAGATAGAACAAGAAATTAGAATAAAAAAGAAAAATATACCATGCTAATATTTACTATGCATTGCGTGTATTGATAACACATAACAAAAAAAGTAACTTAGTAGATAAGAGATCTACTATTTTTATCATCCAAAAGAAACCACATATAGGTACAAAGTCTTACTAATCTGACAGTAAGATCTTGGAATTTATCCAATTTATACTTTCATCGATCTGTAAAGCTCTACTCTAGTGTAATAATGTATAAGAATATGAAATCAGTATTTTAACAGAATAGTACTGACACAAGAGACTTTATGTTCATATTCGAAATATTAAGAGTTACAATGAAACTCAATCATCATTGTTCAGGTAAGAAAATTCAAATCACAATCTTTTATTACTACTGTCTTTAAACGATTGAATGTTGATACATTTGCAAGAGTCAAATAGATCTGGCATAAATCAAAATTAGCAAGATTAGCTAGGTATGATTTAAAATTTTGTACGAAACATTATTACTTGCTGGATGCATACAAGAACCACGTTGACAATACAAATCAGTGTACAAGCATAGAACAAAAGATAATGTAAAGCTTTATGCTTTGACTGTATTTCGTATTGATGGTCTCTGTAAGGTTAGTTATATAGTTGATATGCTAACAAAGGTGATTTTTCATTGGATTTGAGTTCTTGTAATTTATTATGCAAACACCATTAGTAGATACAGTGAAAAAAGATCGATTTCAACGAATCTTTATTTATCTGATTTAATTATTAAATTTATTGAATATAAATTCTATCGTACTCTGCATAAATTAGATTGCTTTACTATTGATTCGATAAACATAATAATATTGAAATAAAAAAAATCTCTTTTTTCGTTTATATTTATTCGAAAACAAGATTTAACTATTCAAGATGTAACTGAATGGTGTCTTGATGATCACGTTTTTGTGCTGTTACTAAAGCGGCTTCACCTTTAGTACATAAACGACGATGTTGTTGTTTTAATTTCTTCTGTAAGGTTTGTTTTACTTTTGCTCGTACATAGTCTTTATCGATTGATAATTTGGATAATTTTCTTGATGTTGATGTTACTGATTGAATATCATCCTTATCATTTTCTTCTGGTTCTCCTTTATTATCATCATGAAATGGTTTATATAAACGATTTTCGTTCTCGTTCAATTCATCAACAGTAGGTGATATTAACAGGTGATTGGAAGTAATAATTTCTGTTAATTTATTGATTTCATCATTTTTAGGAATAGATGATGCTGGCTCCTCATCCAGCTCTTCTTCCTCATCTTCGTCTTCTTCTTCCTCTTCTTCTTCAATTGCTTGGTTATCATTATCACCATCCTGTCTTAGACCAATCGTTTCTGATACCTAAATTAGATGAAATAACAAATATGTCAATGGAGGTATATACATTAAAATAGTTAAACACTAAAAGATAGAAATAATTGTTCTTCGTACCAATTTCTTAGGATTTCAATAATTGAAACTTACAGATTTTTATTACTCAACAAAGTTCTCGCTAATACTTTTTAAGGTGTTGCCTGACGCTGCACTAAATAAAACATAGTTAATCTTAATTGGACATGCTTAGATTTGTGCAATTAGTTGAACACAATGGCGATAAATGTTAATTCTTTTTTTCCCAAAAATCTTATCTCGAATAGAAAAAAAAATGAAGTATTACTTGTTCGAATTGTTTTTCTAATTCTTTTGAAAATCCACTTGCTCGTACGTCATTGTCGAGTGAATGCAAACGTCTAAGAAAAAATTGCTTTTTAATCACAGTAAATAAAAACTGGATCATTCATCTTACATAATTTCAGCAAATTTAGGATAGTGATCACTTTCAAAATTAAATCGACGTCGAAAAAAATCTCGAACACATTGAACATCACGATCAAAATAATAATCAGCATTTAAATGCGATATTGAAACCATTTGTGGAAAATCAATCATTGTTATACGACCATCATCATTTATCATTAAATTAAATTCATTAAAATCTGAATGAATAAGTCCGTAGGATGCAAGATTAACTATCATTGACATTAATTCGTCATAAATTTTGCCTGGTTTATCAATGTTCTTGACGTTACATCTATGAAATACGACAAATCAATATACGATATAATTTTTTTTAAAACAAGATTTACTAACAAAGGATAACCATCGATTAATTCCATAACAACACAATGTCGATTGAGGTCAATTGGTTTTGGTACAGGAAATTTATGTTCATATAGAGCCTTGAAAAATCAATAGAGAATAAAAAATTAATCATATTAAAAAAAAGATATACTTTAATGAAAGCGAATTCTTTGAGTGCAGCAAGTCTTGCAAGATATAACCAATTATATCCTTGTCTATGTTTAAGATAATCACGTTTGTTTTTTAACTGTCGAAAGCATGTTCGGCCTAGACTAAACAAAACAAAAGCCATATAAAATATTAAAACGTTTTATTCAAAATATTATTTTTTGTTTTCATTACCGATGTAATTTTAAAATCATTTGTTCATTCTCTTCATTTGCAACAATATAAACATCTACAAAAAGACAAACTCAACTGAATATAATAAAAACAAAATTTATTTTTTCAAACCTGATTCTTTTCCAACACCAATTTGATTGCCGACAGAATTTATAACATCTCTTGAAGCGAGTGCTTTCAGTGCTAAATAATCGTATCCAAGATTGGTTAAACGATAACCTTCATTGTTAGCAGATTTTCTTCTTGCTGTTGCATCATATGCGACTAATTTATGACGAACTAATTCACGTAAAATTTTATGACAACCACCATGTTTAAGTGATGCTATGACACATAGTAATTGTAATGGAACTAATTCATGATTGCGCATGCCCATTTCGATCTAAATCAAAAATTCTTCTGTTAAAATAATTTTTTTTAACTATATTTCTTTATTGAAATTATAATATCTCTAGGATCAGTCAATGTGAAAGGAATTTTTTGTTAATCATATAAATACAAACTTACCGCTGTTAAGACTCGATAATCTTCTCCTGATAAATATCGGATAAGTGAAACATCAAATTTTCCCATGATGATGAATGATGAATTCTTCTTTTTTTTCTAGAAAATGAAAACAAACAGATCTATTATAATAGGATTTTTTTAGTGAGTGTTCCATTTGAAAGATTTTGTACTTTTCATATATGTATATAAATGACGCATCTTTCTCGCTTTTCAACACATTTCGATTGGCTAGAGCGCGACTACCAGAAGTTATCATTTTTCAGTGTTATTTCCAAAGAAATTAAATTCATACTATAAATTTATGTTCTACAAAGTTTGATCTCTGACATACATAATAATCAATTGAAGACATTTTGATGAATATTATATTTATAGAGGGCGTTATATGCCATGAAGCTATGTGTTGAGAATGAGCTCGATTTTAATTAATAGCAAATCGTTTGAAATCTTCATACATTGCATTTTCTTCCACTTCGTCTATCATCCATACTGAGTTAGCGATATCTGATTTAACAAACATGTTTCTCTTATACTGTCTATGTTTGCTCATTTTTCTTTCGGTAAGTAAGATTATCAATGAATTTTTCCTTGTGGACAACTTTCTATATCTTTTAAGATCGTATTATAATAATACAATATCAGTCAATATGATTAGAAAAAAATTAGAAAATTAAGCAAAACAGAGGGTGTGTGTGTGTATCAGTGAAGCACCCACATATATACCCTTACACCCACATCTGTATCATCAAGCTAGTGACTACCATGGGTATCAAAATTCGATGTTCCGCACACCTCTGCTAAGAAAATATCGCAAAATATTGAATCGAGTGTGACAACTGGACTACTTGATCGATTCAGGGTTGGAAAAAACCAACCTGTGATTAATGTTTTAGAATGTTGACAATTGCGGGTCGCATGCCACTTTTCTTGTCTTTTAACGTGTGCGTGTGCGACTGTCAGCATTGATTGCGCACAGTATTTTAAAGTGACACACAATTTCAACATACATTTTGGTTACGGAAAAAACAAGTTCATTATTTGTTCATGGCGACTGCAGACCCAGACAAAGACCAAAAAAATGTACGGATTATTCAATCGACAGATGATCTAGATTTCGATGACTTCACCTTAGTATGGCTGGATGCTCAGCTCGACTCCAACGAGGATTGTCTGGAAACTAAAAAACGTCTAAGAGAAATTCTTAATACTCTATATACTTTTACCGATGTGGAGGCATGTCGAGCATTTCTCGTCAACGGCAATTCCGATAACAATCATTTCTGCGTCATTGTATCTGGAACATTCAGTTTAGATTTGTTAGTCCCTACTGTAGTTGATTTGTCCTCGGTCATTATCGTAACCATATACTGCTTTAATTCATCAAAACATATGGATATCATCGATCAAACACTAGAAAAGAGTATTCATCACAAATTCCTTGGCGTATTTACTGGGTTGGAAGAGCTTCTGACAACACTGAATGGACGAATTTCAATGCTTCGCACTAGTCTTTCAATCGGTAAATCATCCATGTTTAGCAAGAGTAATAGTTCAATGAAAGACTTATCGCAGGAAAATGCGATATTCTTATGGTTTCATTTGCTCATGTATGCTCTCTTTCATTTGCCTCGTAGTAACATGACGTCTATCCCAATGGTGGAATTCTGTCTTGCCTACTATCATGACAATGATGTCAGATTGAAAGAAGTAGAAGAATTTCGCAAAACGTACAGACCGGATCAAGCTCTGAAATGGTACACACGTGATTCATTTGTCTATAGAATAGTTAATCGAGCACTACGGACACAAAACATCGATACTATTTTCGTTTTTGCATCATTTATTGGTGATCTTCATGATCAACTCCGTTCGTTACACCAAGAATTTCTTGACTATGGCGCAGCACCATTGTTAACTGTTTATCGTGGCCAACAAATGCAAATCGATGAAGTTCGAAAAATCGTCAGTAATATCGGCGGTCTTGTTTCAATGAATACTTTCTTTTCGACCAGTTGCGATCGAGCACTCTCGCGTATCCTGGCACAAGCTGGACCAGGGCTTACTTCTGTCCTCTATGAGATTACAATCGATACCAATGTGTCCGCTGCACCGTTCAGTAGTGTCAACGACCATACCAACTTTCAAGGTGAATTAGAAATCTTATTTTCAGTTGATGCTATTTTTCGTGTTGAATCAGCTACTGAAGAGACAGATGAACATGAACAAGTGTGGTTAATTAAGTTGTGTCTTGTTGACGAGCGTACCGAGCAAAAGCTTACAAATTTGATCGATCATTTCAAACGAAAAAGGATTGGTGAAAATAGCACAATACTCACAATTTCTTCTCTACTTGAGTACATGGGCGATGTCAAAGGCGCTAATCGATTCCTTTTACTACTGCATAAGGTATTACCAGAAAATGATCCGCTGCAAGCAATTGTTTATGGTCAAATGGGTTCACTCAACATTTACGATAAAAATTTTCCTGCTGAAATGTTCTTTGAAAACGCAATGAATACTATACGAATCGGCACAATCACTTTTACCAAATAGAGATATGCTTATGGCGACTACATTGACTAATATTGCTTTTCTCTCCATGTGTAATGGTGACTATGAGAAAGCCGGTGAATCTATTGTTCGAGCGATAGAGCTGCAGAAAAATTATTTGTCGATCGACAAAGAAAATGTTCATGAATATACTCTAACAAGTTTTATTAACGCTAGTGCTATTCTTTTCAAGTTAGGTGACGCAAGTAGAGCACTGAAACAGTATGAGATTGTGCTTAGCCTTTGCAACAGTTTCTTACCACCAACTCATCCAATTTTAACTGTTGTACATGAACATTTGGGTGTTGTTCATAGCCATATCGGTAATTCAAGCGAAGCCATACAGCATCATGAACAGTCGCATAAACTTCGAATGCAGATTTATCCAGATGGGCATCAAGAGTTGGCACGCAGCCATGCCAATTTAGGCTGGCGATATGTTGATAGCTGCAATTATGATGCTGCACAGCAGCAGTTTGAATGTGCGCTATCAATGCATGAAAAATTTCAAGCATGGACGAATTCAAACGCTCTAGCAAATACACTCAGCGGGCTTGCCACTGTATCTCGGCGTCAAGGCAAATTAGATGATGCACTCAACTACTTAAAACAGGCATCAAGCATGATCTCATCTAAAGAGCATCCCGATGTCGATCAGATAGATCTACAGATGGGCAGACTTCTTATCGACATGAACAGGCATATTGAAGCGGAAGAAATCTTACACGTGTTCGTGACAAGAGCATCAAGTTGGATAATAAACTAGATGTTGCTGAGGTACAGCTTGTTTTTGGTCAATTGTACTGTCGAATGAAGAAGCTTAATCAAGCACTTCAATGTTTTGATCGTGCCCTTCAAATTCGACAAGAAGTTACACCTACTGCACTACCTGCTATTGCGAAAGTCTTACATGAAATTGCAGCTGTGTATTTCGATCAGCAACAGTATCAAATGGCTCTTGATCATTTGCGCCAGTGTCTGGCTTTTGAGCTAAAGTCATTGCCAAAGACTCATATTGATATAGCTCAGTCCCACAACTCTATTGCATCTGTACTATGGTATCTAAAAGACTACGTTCAAGCATCGCAGGAAGCACAACTTGCTGTGGAAATTGCTTTACATTCTCTGGAAGCGTCTGATCCGTTAGTTATCAGGTTCAAGCAACTGCTAACTTCGATTTCACACTGCTTAAAGTCGGAGAATGAAAAAAAAATGGACGAAAGTAAATCAACGCCACTCAGTTGACTGTTATCTATAAAGGGATGCTATTGTATGTTTTGGTGGTTGCCAACGAGAGAACATAAATTCATAAATGTAAGCGTGAAGCTCAATATATCTGCGTATGTAATTACAAATCTGACTGTGACTGCTGATGAGTGCGTTTTGTTTACATGAGAAATACGTCTCATATGCATTCATGTCGACATTTACACTTCTGATTGAATGAAATAAAAAATAATCAATAAAGAATGTTTACTTTTAACTAATGCTTCTGTAATTAAAATGAAGAGTGTACAATAAAAGCATATCTTTCGCCTATGATTGTGAGAAATAAACAGATTACAACAATGGCACCTCATATTCACTACTTTATGAACGATCCAAAAAGGAGTATATGCAGCCTTGTCAGAAATTGTTAAAAGCGCTTTTATTAGCTTTTTCCTAGTGTTTTATTTTATGAATTCTTCCATAATCGTGAGGGTGTGGGTGCAAATCTTTCATTTACATTGATACCCACACTCACTAAAATATAACTCAAACAATCGTGATATCATTAGTCATGAGATATTTTTATTTCATGTCGGACAAAAGCAGCATGTATGCAAATTAGTGTCTGAAAATATTATTGGTTCTTCAATCTCAAAAAGTAAAATTCGAGTAGGAATTTAAAGAGCATGAAGAGAACGAAATTACTTTTATTCTGTTCTTCTACATTCTTGCGCAATTCATCTATTGAAAGTTAACATATCGACAAGGAAAGAAGAATATTGCACCATCTCTAATGTCATGCAACTTTAATACGATATAAGCGATGAAAAAGAAAGACGAGCCGCGATCGATAGCCAAACACAACTCAATGTTATGAGACTGAAGCATCACATTTGGCCCTTCGGGACCACGGTTGTCGATCAAATTGACACTCGTCGTCTCTTTTTTTTCTTCATTGAAACTAATATTTTATAATATAAAATATCTTCTATTGAGTCAAGACATATAGTTTTGTTTTTTACTCTTAACGTAAAATTTTACTATGAGTCTAAAGCCGTTTGGATGTGTATGTTTTTGAAGTTTAAATAATAATATAGTAGCATATTACAATACTACTGTAATATGATTCATAGCAAGCTAATGTGTATTTCGCATTCAAATTTGTCGTTCATTCGAGTGACAGAAAACATAATCCAAGACCTACTACTTTTCTGTGTTCACTTTTTTTTACGGTGATGGCGTTGATAAACTTTTCTTTATAGTGTAGTATATAATTTTATAAAACATCTTGAATGAAAAAAGGAAAAGAAATAATAGATTTGTAAGCTGGTATATTTCAAACATTTTTAAAAGAATGTTTTTGGCATAAGAAAAGAAAATTTAAAAATCAAACTCGAACGATTTGATTGCTAGAACTTAAAATTCTATACTGTTTGAGATTGTTCGTAAAATTCTGTTATTAAATTACCGAGTTCCGGTGGAACCATTACCACAGTTTTTTTCTTCATACGACGTTGATAACGCTTTTTATGGAATAATCGCTTGTATTTTCGTCTACGTTTTTGCTTACGAGTACTATTTAATAACTGTGTAAACGATAAAACTTGTTTGAAAGACATTAGATCTTGATCATTTTCATCGTCGACTAGTGCCTCTTGTACTTCAATGCATCGCTTTATATATTCTATACCATAATTCATATTATTCATTTGAAAATAAACTTGACTAATCTGATAAAGTGTAGATACTAAATTAGGACTATCATTATTATCGGCAATTATCAAACTTTTTTTGTAATATGATAAAGCTGTTTGAAAATCTTGTTTATCATACAACACGTTTGCTATAGTACCAAGTATGTTTTCTAGTTTAGAATCATTCTCTGTTGATTTCAATTTGTCATACAATTCTAGAGCTATTAACAAATGCTTCAATGAAATTTCTAAATCTGGTTTCTCATAATAAATTTTTCCAATGAATTCGTGTATTGTAGCAAGTTCTATACTGTCTCCAGATTGTTTTAGTATTTCGAAAGCCTCTATAAGGTGTTCGAGTGCTTCATCATAATTATGTTGTTTGAACAACGACTTTCCAATACAGCTAGTAATAGCGCCAATGAGAGTATTATTACTTGGGTCAGTTTTCTTTTTGATTTTTAATGCTTCCGAGTAATGTAACAGACTGTCATTATAATTGTTTTGATCTAAACAGATTGCACCCATATTGATCAAAACGTAGGATATCTTAGGTCAGGATTCGCGTATTTTCCAATACTATTCGCCAATTCATCCGACCAAATGGACCTAACATCGGACCAAGATACAGTTCGACTTGCTCTATCGAATGATATACTTTTGAGTTCTTTGTGATGCTTCTGTTGCCAGGAAATTTCCTAAACAACGCTGGAAACCCTAGGTTTCTGCGAAGAACCCGGCGCCATTCACTCGATTCACTTTTTCAACGCTCCCATACAACTCCTCAAGAAGAACTTGGTGAGATCAACCGAAAGGACCTCTGTCAGACTCAGTTCAGATCTTTTAAAGTGTTTAAACTGAGAAGAAAAATAATTTTCGCATTTTATTAATTAAATGATTATCAAGTTGTGACTTAAATCAATATATTTAATCGAAGAAACACCTCGCTGATAGAATTCTTGTTTAAAATATTTATTCAAGAGTAAATTTGTTTTTACTTTATTCGTATAGCAAAGAGACACAAACTGATTTTGTATGGGAACATAATTTTTGGTCAGTAAAATAAATGAAATGGTCAGTAAAAAAATAGGCAAATAATCAGTGTTAATATTATATGGTCAGTACTAAAACGGTCAGTAATTAATTAAGA